TGTATATATATATATATATATATATATATATATATATATATATATATATATATATATAATATTATAGTACATACATAAAGTAAGTGCTTCACGTATTACGTGTGACGCAACTCTGGAATATCTGTATGAATGAACAGGTAGTAAATAAATATGTTTAAAAGTTAGCAGTTCTATGGATCATATGAGCTGAGAGGTAAGCTCTTCCGAATAACACAAACCTTGTGGCGACACCTCTATGAGCGAGGAGGTCGACGAGGTGGGGGGCAGGGTGGCCGGCGCGTAGCCCTTGGCGCTGGTGCGCAGCGTGATCACGGCCACGTCGTTTAGCTCGTTGCCGCCCTGGTCCACGGGCTTCCAGTCGGGGTGCACCGCCGTCCGCGCCACCTCCATCTCCCGGCGACCGCTTTCGCGCCTCAGGCAGTGGTTGTACGTGCCCAGCGACACCGCCACCCCCCCGTCCAACCTGCGCACGCCAGACACTCAGCAGCGCTTCCCAGTGGCACCGCTGCTGCGAGAGAATGGGTTATAATAAAACACGTTGGGACAATTACATTACACTCTCTGAGAGCGTTGTAGTTGCGGAATATTTTGAAAGCTGCTATTGTAGTGGAAACGTACGTACTACGACTGTGAGCGCCTCACTGAGTAAGCGAAGGGTTAGCTTACTGGCGTCTGAAACCAAGTCCGCGGATTCGATCTTGGACGAGGTGCGTGTATTTTCGAATGCACAGTGGTCATTTTACATATGTGGTAAATAAAAGAACCCTAACAGATGCTCGGTAACATTAAAAGGCCTCCGAAAATATCCCGCCGTAATGTGATCTCAATTTCTCCCAACCGGATTGGATATTGGTAATTAAGACGAATATCTGTTGGAGAAAGCGACAGTGTCGCATTCCACGCTTATTAGGCTACTTCCCGCGAGGCACGCCTGCTCGATAAGATAAGCGATGTAATATGGTTAAGAGTTGTTCGACATAATTACACAAACAAATTCAATCCAAGTTCAAATCCAGGTTACAAGTTCACACAATGACTCGTCATATTAGAAGAACATTTGAGTTGTTTCTGGATTAGTAATTAATTGTAAATGTTGAAGATCTTTCGTGTGAAAACTTGAAAAACTGTAGTGTTGAAGAAAATTATAGCTGGCTTAGAAACCATGTATGTAAAATTACCCATAAATAGCTAATATTTTGTTTTTTGATTTTATATTTTTATTTCAGTTACACTCACATTAAAACGAAGACGTTAAAAACGAATAAAATTGGAATCATGTTTGAAATTGCAATGGCGACCCTTTCAAAATATAGTGTGCCCTAAACTCTCAGTCGAATGGATAGTAGCGACTGGGTTTAAATGGAGGTATTCACAAGAGCGACGAAATGAAGCTGCTATAGCGGTCAGTAGAGCGCACACTCCCACCGCCAACAACGAGCAGTGAGCACTGAGGACAACATTCCAATCGCATCTTCATTGGCGCATAATATAAACTATTTTCTGTAGACAGGAACTAGTTTTTCTCCAAAATCTCTAAAGAAACGACCGACGCAGGCCCAGATTCATCACAGGAGATACTTCGAACTCTTGAGAAAGTTAGATCGCTAATTACTGAAAACGTTTGGAAGGCATGACTAAAATTCGAGAGCTTGGCTTTGCTTCATAAACTCGAGTGGGCTTTTTCGTTATACACATTTCTTTAATCCGTCGGTCAAGAAAAGTTGTGCGGATATTACAGACCACGACGAATCAGACAGTAAGGCGAGAGTACAAATTATATAGACTTTATTCATTTTCCTGTCTGATAGAGGAATGTGACGAAACACATAATCGTATTTCATGTGTAAATCGTAAAAGCGTTCAGGGCGTCTTTGATCACAAGTGTTCTCTTGTGGCGAGATAGGAGGGCAGGGGATATTTCATCGTGCTACCTGTACCATGGACATGGTGGCATCGACCTTGTCATCACTGTTCTAGACACTAGTTCAAAAGCACGTGACGCAATTTCAACCTCGTCTTAGGTTTACGTACGCTGCAAATGAAATGTCCTTTCAGAATCACAAAGAAAAAAATGTTGTGTACGAGGGTAGGATGTGGGGAACCTTAGGCACATGGGCGTTGCTGCATCAGCGTCGCGTTGTCGAAATAAAATTTTAAGTCGCAGAGTTAACGCATTTACGGTTGGTTACGATATGACAATTTGGGTGAATAATTTAGTTAAAAGCTGGAAGATAAATGTGGCAGTAATGTAGACAATAAAAAAAGTTATTGAAAGTCAACACGACAGGGATTCAGTGATGATTCATGTATCTATGATGGTACAGATAGAGATCTTGAAGATCTGAACACTAGCAACTAGTTAACTTTCTTAGATGCAACTCAGAACACTAATCGCTAAAACGAAAAAAAAAAAATTTGACAAGAACACATTCAACTTAAAGCACTCTCTAATACTGTTGAGAATGGGTCTGTAACCATTGCATTTTGAAACTGAAAAGAGCCTTATTAATTAGATCGCTGGTGATACCTTCTGTTATTTAAAAATGCTAATTAGAAGATGCCTTGTATCAACAATTTATTTGGCCTAACAATTTTCAAATAAATATATCGTTTTGTGGTAATCGTTATTACCTTAGACATCGTAAGTTTCTAAAACCAGAGAGATTCGTAGCCGTAATGCAGACAGCTACAGATCCTTATAAAATTCGTGTAGTGTGAACACCGGCGTATTTTAAAGAAAAAAAAGTAAAATATTCTTTGAAATATTTAATTTCTTAAAAATGTTAAAATATTCTTTGAAATATTCATTTTCTTAAAAATATTGTTAAAAAAGTAAATAACATGTGAGTTTAATCATGCGTATGTATTGTAATTTAATAGAAAAAACGTATTTTTACACCATCTATTTTTCTAATTTTTTTCAAGGGTCCTGAGAGACACCTAAGAACGTGACAAAAAAAAAAAAAAAAAAAAAAAAAAAAAAAAAAAAAAAAAAAATTCGGATACTCGAAGGCTACGTAATCCATACTAAGGGAAAGCAATCAACGATGTATCTGTATCTGTGAGCAATTAATGTGTTCCCATCCAATCAGATGAAGCATCAACGCAACAATGGGCTAAAAAACGTTGAAGTTAAGAAAATTTTGACACGCATAAAGTGCTTTCTGATTCTAAACCTCAACTAAAATATGGATTTTGAGCCTTTCAATTCAACGAGAACATTATTGCATCTATTGGCCGATAACTGACAGTATTTTTTACTAGAGTTTTTGAAAATTACCTAGGATTATGGACAATCAGATACTAGGAGATGTTATTCAGTCATTAGATTATAACAACTTTAAATCTAATTTCTAAAATAGCAGTTTCGAAAAAATGCATTGAACGTCAAGTCGCCATCCATAGTATTTTGTTATATATCATATTATACTTAATAAAAATTGTGCATATCAATGATAATTTGCTGTATATGAAAAATTATAAATAAAAATAACACAAAAATAAGTAAACTATAACAAATGAATGAAGACATCTGAATAAGTGCATTCAATTGGACCAAGCAACGTCAGGTCCGAATGGTGCGGTAGGCAAAGAGTAAAGAGAGCAGCCTCACGCCTGCACGCAGTGGGCGGCGGTGAGCACGTGCCGCGCGGAGACGAGCGTGCCCCCGCACACGGCGATGGTGGAGCGGCCGGGCGGGTGCAGCATGGCGAACCAGGAGAGCGCGCGCCCAGCCGCCTGCCCGCCCAGCACGCGCGTCGCCTCCGGCTCCAGCTCCAGCTCCGCGCCTGCGCACAACCGCACCGCACCGCAGCGCTTAGCAGAAGCCACGCAGGGTTAAGGTTCATTGATTGGTCAGTTACTCCGGGCCCGGCAACTGCACAGGTCATTATTCCTGTAGGTGTAGAGCATGTTTTATCGCGGGAGGTGGCGGTGAGTTACTCAAACTGGTTAGCGACATCTGGCGCCAACTTAATAATCATAAAATTCACATAACAATAATAATAATAATAGTAATAATAATAATAATAATAATAATAATAATAATAATGGCCAGGCTCATGACATAGGGCCTGCTCTTCCGCCTAAGCCCTGAATTTACATACATAAAGAGTAGTAACATTTTAAGAGGGGAGGACATTCTATACATTTAGGTATGGAGTGCAAAACTAGGGACCATCCCCGCATACGTCTTAAGCGATTGAGTAAACCCAGAAAACCTCAATCGTGGTGGCGGCTTAGCGCTGAACATTATCATTTCACGGAGAAAAGTGGAAGAGAAGGGAAAATAAAGGGAAGAAAAACAAATGAAAATGAAAATACGAAAGAGAAAGAAGGAAGACTGAGAGAGAGAACGGGCTGAACATTTGTGTCTGGGAAAGGACCACCCCGGCGTATGCCTTAAGCGATTGAGAAAACCCAGAAACACCAAAATCAGGATGGCGGCTTAGGGCCGAACATTAATAGAAATAATATGTTAAACATAGTAATGAAAGAGAAGACTTTCAAGGGAAGAGGCCATAAAGAGAAAATTTGGGGAGGGAGAGGGAAAAGAGAAGAAGCGAAGAAAAGGAAGAAGAAGAAATAGACGAAAAAATTGAAATTATTCTAGGAACATTACAGAAAGGTACGTTTGGTTTACATTAGCACTTACATAAATATAAAATCATTTTAACACCAGAGAATCAAAATACACTAAAAGCTAATAACAAAAGAAATTTCAAATACAATATTGACAGGGTTAAGGAACAATATAAAGTATGCTGGGGTCTAAACATCAATTTTGTTTATGCCAATATATTGTAATACATATTATAATGGCGGTAGAACGATAGCTACAAGTATTTTTAATCTGGAACGACGCTAAATTTTTTTGTACATTTTATTAAACAATTTCATTAGGATATACAGAATAATTATAATGTTAATAATTTAGATGGTGTGAGAGGGAATGGAAATGAGGATAGAGCAATGCGGTATGAGATATAATTTTGAAAATAGAGAGGGGGAAACTGCCTAGTTTGACGGAGGCTGTGAACGGGCGCTTGGAAGTGGGAGAAAGCTTGAGATTAAAGAAGACGTTAACGCCATTCTACATGTCGTTATTCCTTACCTATGTGGTTAATTCAGTTTTGAATTTACGGAAAGTATTAGAATGTTTCAGACTCGCTGGTAATTTATTCCAAGCTCAGATAGTTGTAATGATGATAATCTACTCAGATAATTGTAATGATAATCTACTGAACGAAGTCGTGTTGTGACGTGGTTCTACGACATTTACATAGATTAAGAAGGCCAGTGTCCCTAACACAGTGCCTTGAGCAACTCCACGGTTAAGCTTCAAGTCCCTTGAGTTTGCGGCTACGGGACACCACTCTGTGGGTTCTGGAAGTTACGTAATTAAGAAACCATGTACACGTGGTCTGTGCAAATCCCACGACTTTTAGTTTTGCGAGCAAGATATCATGGTCTACTGAATCGAACGCTTTGCTGAAATCCAGAAGAATCAAGATGGTTGTATAACTGTAATCTATTGCTATTCTCGCGACTTCAATGACGTTTAGTAGCGCTGTTCCTGAATTCCTACCGAGACGGAAACCTGATCGCTGATCGTTTAAAAGTGATTTTTTCGAAGATACTGTTCAGAGTGCTTCCGGACGGTGTTTTCTAGTACTTTAGTCGCGAGGATGCTAATTGGGCGGTATTCAATTGGGTTATTGGTCGATGCTGCCTTGGGAATAGGGTGCACGCGAGCAGACTTCCAGGATAAGGGATATTGTCCGCTCATTAGTGAGTTCATTATTATTTCGGTTATGATTGGGAAGGTCACATCTAGACTATTTTTTAGCAGTTTGACATTCATATCATTGGAACCTGAAGCATTTGATTTGAGATATTGAACGATTTGATTACATCCTGATATTAAACGAACGAAAAGCAAAATTCGTTGTTGGATGTTATTGATGAGTTTTGCAGAAACGCAAGAGATTTCCTTTTCAAGTTATTGGCAATGAGGGAACGTTATTTATGAAACTATGATTTAGTGATTATCAGGGGATATTCGTTTCAATTTGGAAAGGACCTTTGTCTATTCCTAAATTTTCCAGATTTTTTGACATTGTTCTCAAGTCCCGTTTTCTGCCGAAGCTGGTGTGGTAATATTTTATTTTAGCGTTGAGGCATTTCTGCGTAACTAAATTTCTGAGCATTTTGTACTGTTTTTTTAAGAAGGAGAGAATTTAGGGCAATTGATTAATTGGAAATAAGTTTAGAGAGACAAAACGAAACATGACAATTTTTGAAATAATTATAATAAAAAAAGTGTATGTTAAGTAATTTAAAATCAATATTTTTTTGGTAAATCAATAAAACAGAATAATATGACTAAAATAATGTTCTGCAATTCTTTTTACACTGTGAATAATTGCACATTTTTCAAATCCAGGTTATTAATTGGAATCTCTAATATCGTACATGGACTAGCAGTTTAATTGCAAGTAAGCAAAGAAAACTCAATATAAGGCAAAAAGTTAAGATTTCCGAATTACAAAACAAATATGCGTTAAGGGAAAAATAATTTATTTCATACGTATTGTAATGACATTTGAGTTTCTTACAAATTCGAATGTAAGGCATATTTATTAAGCACAATTAACCTTTGGTATTAATTTCATCATTATGTAATAAAAATGTATATGATAAAAAATTAGTGATGGGTACTGGTTTTTCCTGTGTGAAAACGACTTTTGTCCATAATTTATGGCGAAATATTGATGTTAGTCGCGAGTTTTCATCATTCAAAATACATTATCATATACTATGTATGTAATACATCATATAAAATGAGGAACATTAATAAAGTTATAACATTGTTTTATAATAGAAAAATGTATAATACTGTAATTTAATATAAGCCTAGAAATGACAAAAATAAATGTTTTAATTGTCTTGAATTCCATCACTGACATACGAAAGAGACTTAAACGTAATTCTTTCAATTACCAGTTTTTCTTCCATTTCTCTTACCGTCCTGGAAGAACATTTGGGACGGTGAGATATCAACGTCTGAAGTTAGGGTTATCCTTGAGACACGTGTGACATGTTTGCATCGCGAATCTGAGCCTAGCGCTAACCCATGACCTACCCGTTACCTACGACTCATCTCTTCTTTTCTTTGGGTAAAGAATTGAGAGGAAAGCTAACTTTTGTTATCAAAAGATTATTCGGAACGTCAAAATAAAATAAATGATACCTCGGTCTAGAACTACACGAAAAAAAAGGTTCGGTGCGGAACGACTGGGATTAGTGGAAATGAAAATGATTTAAACATAAATTTTTAACCAAGACTGCAAGAAAATAGAAATAAATTTCAAGAAAAAAGGCTTAGAAAGTTAAAGTTAAATGCCTTAAAATACATTTACGTGAAAATAGGCAAAATAAATATTCGTCAGTATTGTTATATTTTCATTAGTTTTGCATATATGCCAAAAGCCTAAGGCTATTTATATAAACTACAGGTACCGCTAAATTGTTTATGTATTGGTCACCGTACAAATTTGGCAAATCGCAAAAACACATTGCGAGAGATCCGGTGATACCACCAGCATTCATTCGACCCGGCTGGTGCACCCCGATAACAGACCACGTTTCGGCCTCGTTTGTTCTCGATAATGACAGTTCCGGAACCGGCACTCTCATACAGAGCAGCGCCTGGTCTCGCTTCCGAGAACGAACGGAACTGAGGACGTTCATGTCAGGCTCTAACTACCCACATGTCAGGAGACCAGTCTGGAGCTTAGTGCTTGTCCCGGCAGGGGCGGTGCAACGCGCCGGTGCGAAATAGCTATTTTTTAATTATTTTTTTTTACTAGACTCTCCGGGTGACGCCGCGTCCACGGCGAACGTGCCGACGTTTCGATCGCCATTCTGCGACCTTCCTCAGGGCTTAATTCGAAGGTTGCAGAAAGGCGACCGAAACGTCGGCACCTTCGCCATGAACGCGGCGTCACCCGGACAGCCTAGTAAATTCTGACTCCGGCCGCGGAAGCCTACGCTCTCTCGCGAAACAGCTAGTTGGGGGAAAATCCCCGCAAGCATGTTCTTTCACACTCCTTAATCGCACTAACCTAAAACACTTCTGTCAAAACAGTCACTAATATCAATTTTCAAAATATTGCCATGAAGACCAAATACCACAAAGTTTACATCAGCACAAACCAAATAAAATCCACAACATACAGGAACCCAGAAAATTCAGACCATCTTCTCGCCCACCAACTCTAGACACAAGTAATAAACTAGTGGTGTTACAGAATGGCACAAAATGTCTCGCACTAGTTAGTTTATTCATCAATCTTATTCATCACTCTGGTTTATAATATCGGTTTTACTCCTCCATATTCTAAACTGCCGTCTTGGAGCCTAAAAGTATTTTTTTCACGTTTTCTCAACTTTTCGGATCCCTTATAGTAGAAGTGTAATTTGACTTGAAGTTTACACTAGAATGATAAAAACTGGTCATATGTGTATTACATTGTTAATGAAAACTTTGGAGCAGTTTGAAATAAAATTCCGTTGGAGTGTATCTGAAAATGAACATTTTGAAACTTATTTCCACATAAAACTATTGAGGTTTTGATAAACTTCATTAGAAATAATTCGAAGCACTTTTACTCATAACGCAAAGATGTATAAAAAACTTTCATACTGTAAATGTTAACGACGTGAGATATATTTAAAAGCAAATGCATTGGTATAATTGTAATAAAAATCTAAAGAATAAATCAGAACGGTGTTAATACCAAGTTTCGGCATCCTTTGTTCTCGATAATGACAGTTCCGAAACCGGCATTATTCACTGCAATTAGCTCTCTCGATACGAAACGTTAAAAGAAAAAAATGGAGCCTTTTTTAGAAAATGTCGTTTGAGCATTTCTGAAACTAGAGAAGTCTGTGTTCACTTCATCAGAGAAGTTATGTTTTCGAGAAACTTTAAGAGATCTCATTTGAAACACTTATACTCACAAATGCACAAATGAATAAAAATCGGCGATTATTTAGTATTGCACATGAAATTCGGGGATTTTTTTATCTCCACAAATGAATATAAATCGCCATTCATCTGAATAAGAACGTCGGGAAAGTGTCAAAACCATTACATTTGTGTAATTTTGGAAATATGAAAATAATGCAGTGAATTCGTTTATGTCATCTTACACAGCGCATTTAGTACAAAATGTTGTATGAATAATACACAGAGACGTTTTTAACAAAATATTATTTAATATTGCTTACTTTTCTTTAAAAATTACATGAAAACGACAAAAATGTTCATAAGCACATACGTGAGATTTATCAAAGAACTAATTGTGGAGAACAAATTTTATTTGAAGAACACATTGCCATCTTGTAAATTATAGTAGTTTCAGGAAGACGCCAAATAAAATTCAAACTTTTGTAACTTTCAGAAACACAAAGTTGGCCTCCAGGACGGCTAATGCGCAGCGTACTTGCTTCACGTGGTGTGGTTCCGGGTTCGATTCTCGGTCGAGGCAGAAACAGAGTTATAGCTCTCCTTTTACAATCGTTGCAGTTTCTGTAGATGTGTCGAAGAAAATCTTAGGCAGACGGATCTTGTTAGAGAGGTTGAAGGGAATACATCTTGTTTGCCACATGTCGCTCTTACCCCAAAGCATGAGAACTTAATTTTGTCTAGGTACGGGGGACACCGTTAGCTCGCCGATAAAATCGAACCCAATGTGCCAAACACATTCGGAAACTCAAACGTTAACCGTGAAAATCGGATATATGCTATTATTGTTAAGTTATTTCACTCAATTTTTGCAAGAGATTTAAAGAAATAATTTGAAGCCATTTTCGAGAAAATTTTGAAAATGTCCCAGGTAATTCATGTAAATTACCCCCTCCCAAAAAATGTTGAGAATCGTAACTGAGATAACTCCGAAAAGGAAGTGAATGCTAATTTTGTAAAAGCCTGACATCACGTATAAAGTCCAGAACAGTAGAAATGAAAGATAATCTTCGGCGAAGGTATAAGAACTTATATTAGCATCTCTTATTCCAAAACGTTTATGTTCGTCAAACGAAAATCTATCTCCGGTCGTTACTCGTAAAGGCAAATCACTCTAATTAATTACTGAATTTTATTAATAAAAATGATGACACACACTGAAAATGACACGATTTGTTAAAACGATTAAAAGGCAGAACAAACTATTCATTTATATCAATAATTGAAAACTATTAGATTTAATTAAATTGATTTCAATGGTTGGCCACCCAACGTCTGATCTACAGTTTTCACTAGGTCTCTACTATACGTTATTTTTATTTAAGAATGTTCATTCTAATTACGTCCATTGTGTGAATTGTATCCCATTGTGTGTATGTTTATTGTATATTTTATAATATTCATTAGAGTTCTTAATTGCATTTTATTTCACTTCTTATAAATATTTACATTACATCTCAATCCACTAGATCACAGAAATTATAAAATAAGTAGAATTGAATATAAAATTTTTCCCTTTTGTAAATTCATCATCATTATACTTGACTTTTGTAAATTATAATCAGAAATTAAGAATTTGTTCCTCAACTAACTCTTTGAAGACTAGCATTCGTAATGACATCGCTGAAGTCAAAAATCTCTTATGATATGAAAATATTTTTGTTTAGAATGTCATTATTCTAAACAAAAAACGTTTTAACGAATTCAACTGATTTTACCATTTAGGATAAATTGTTTTGAAAGTCCATTTAAAATAATTGTTGTCTCTTGCGCAATTTTCAAGTATGATGTTATGCCTCTTGGGAACTATTGCCATACATTTCTTCCTAACGTTGTGATACATGAATTGATCTTTTTCGTTGTATGTCCATGGACCTTTCTCCGTTCCAGAACTGCAAGAAACAATCTTAATTCTTTTGTTTTCAGAATCGATGCATTTAGAACCCAATCCAAGTTGTCCTTTCAGATTTAAACGAACGGGTTTCAAAGATTTACTATTACAAGGTGCCATTACTAATAGTGCAAACGATCCAATTTTATTTTGAATCATGCATGTCTGCGAAGCTACATTACGAAGTTCTCCTGAAAGCTGATTTGGAGGTGGCTCTGGATAGGTGTTTAAGACACTATAAGCTAAAGTGTTCATATACCATTGAAATGATTGACATTGAAGCTTCTTTTTCAAAGCCATTTGCTTTGAAATATCACCATGGTCTACATATCGGGCTAGAGGTTCTATAGTGTAAAAATTATTTCTATATTGGGCATCAAGCCAAACTTCTACAATGCGCTTTAAGTTAATGAGCTTTGGTGGTCCTCTGTTGCTGTCTACTGTCTGGCCTAACATAGCAGGAGCAACACCTTTAAAAATGTGTCCTACGCGAGAGCACGGAACCCATATTATACTTCCCCCACACATCCAGATCTTGAAAGACAACTCCAAATTTTCTCCTTTTCCTCCTACCAAACCCGGGTCATAGGCACCAATGGCTAAGAAAAAATTACGGTTTATGGCAAATACTCCACCAGGATGAGTTGGTGATACGTAAGGTCGACTGTCGTATCCTTTCTTGTGAAGAATCGATGGAAGTTTGCTTTCTCTGTAGAGCATGCCCCAATCGAAAATCCCATGATAGTAGTCTTTTTCTTTGCGTAAAGTTCGATATTCAAAAGTCTTAGAGTCAATAACATCAACAAATGGCACAGTCAGGGAAGTAGAATTTTGGAAAATTGGAGTAATTAGAGGAGGTAACCAATTAATATTTACCTCACAATAAGCATCCAGAAATACTATCACTTCTCCACGTGCTTCTCTTGCAGCTCGATATCGTGTGGCGACCAAACCTTTCGGTTTGTCATTTCTAATAAATTTCATTTTAGTATTAAACTTTTTCATGTACTTATTCATGACTTCCTCCTGATTCAGAGAACTGTAATCATCAAGGAGCAAAATTTCTTCAAGAAATTGGGCGGGAGTTCTGTTGATCACGCTGTAGATGGTTCGTATCAATGAGCTCCATATTGCGTTTTGAAACACAATAATAACACTTACTTTGGGCAAGTTTTTGGAGTAATTAAAATACTTACAATCTTGCAATCGAGTGTCTGGGATGTCTCTATCAGGGGCTATTGCATCTGAAAGTTCGTTGTTTATTTTAGAATATATAAATGAAAAGTTTATATTTTCAGATTCCCCTTCAACAATAAAAGTCTTTTTGGTTGGATATTCATCGAAGAAATCATAATCAATAAGATCTAATGATTCTTTCGGTTCAAAGTTACCCAAAACACGAGGTAACTTGTCTTCGCTGGATCTTAAAAAATCAAAACCACTTAACCTGTCACTTAAGAAATACAAGTAGACAAAATGCAGAATAGCCAGGGCAAATAATTTACCCAAATGCCATGGTCGCATCGTATTGACATTCGAGGTATTTAGCGAAAAATATTACTCTCCTGCTTGGAATGTAACATAAAGAATGAACTGTAGCAAACACAAAACAAAACCAACAATGCTATCACATTCGAACCAGCTTCAGTTTTTTCTTCCATGAAATTGAGTGATACATTTAAATGCATTAAGAAATACGTTTGGTTTACTTTTGAAACAATTACTGAACGTTTGAAAACAACCAATAGAACTACAACAAAACATATTTTTTCTATTATTTTTTGCAATTTTCTAAAATTTAGAGATTTTAACGAAAACGAGATTTAAGCCAAACACTAATGCAATCCTTGTTCTATCCGTTGGAAAAAAAATTGAATATCAAATTTGGAGAAAATATTGTCTTTTATAATATTTCGATAGTGTACATACCTTTTGCGGTTCTCACATGCAACCGATCTTTACAAATGAGGACTCTAAAGAAAGAGAATTTCGCGGAAAAGTGATATATTGAATTTTGACTTTAAAAAACGAAGGGTGTGTTGAAAAAAACGGATCTAAACATTCATGTCAAATGCAACTTGTATCAGTGAGTCGCATTCTTATATCTGTGCAGTTAAATACCTCGTAAATGAAGCGTTTAAGAATCTTAAAACTTGAGATTTTGAGACCAAATACCTCTAAGGAACATTCCTCACACCGTAATCTTCAGGATACGGTTTTCTTGAGCATTCTATTACATTTTGCTAATCCAGCGCTTCTCGATTCTACTACACCTGTTCAGAGGAGTGCAGATTCTCCAACTGTTTAACAAGTTTGGTAATAAAGTTAAATAATATTCCAAAGAGAGGGGATGAGCTTCCCAATCCTTTATTTTCCCATGGACATCTTTACGTAGCTTTCTCGAGAGTACGAACCTTTCGTAATGTGAGAGCGTAGGCTTCCGCGGCCGGAGTCAGTATTTACTAGACTGTCCGGGTGACGCCGCGTCCATGGCGAAGGTGCCGACATTTCGGTCGCCCTGAGGAAGGTCCAGTATGGCGACCCGGACAGACTAGTAAATACCTTTCGTAATATTTTTGTGACTATTAATCAGAGGCGTATCTACGATATGGCAGACATGGCACGTGCCATTGGCTCCACTAACACGGGGCTATTTACCCGCAAAACATATACCCCCTACAATTAGAAAAACGAAAAAATTAAGAAAATGTCAAAAAATTGTACTTCGGTCAGTGAGAGATGACAGCAGGCAAGAATATGGGGCAAGCTCGAATAGCAAACCGAGGCCAAAGGAAATAGAAATTGTGTCATTCTGTAGCACCACTAGTTACTTTCTCGTCACGTACTGTGGCGTTGCCGAATACATTGTTATTAAAAAAATATTACCTTCAATAGTTTTCAAGAGAGTGGTGCAGGTGTCATATTTGGTGACATCCCCGATTTTTTTGAAAATTGCACAAAAAAAATAAAAACATTGAAGATACATTTTTTGGATCAAACAAAGACTGTGGCACGATTAGGTCTTTAAAAAAGGTCATGTACCATGTGTAGTAAGTAGTTTTGGGGTATATCTGATTAAGATTATAAAAAAAACTTTTGTCAATCGAGATCCAAATTTAAGCTCCAACTTTCTTCACATTTTCACCACATGTGTAATAAGGGACGGTAAAAAATATGGTGCTAGTCCCTATTTTCGGGTATTACTCGTTTTTTCAAAAATTGCAAAAAAATCAAAACTATAAAATTGAAGAAACTTTTGCGTCAGAAAACCTGTCTTGTAGAAAATTAGCTATAAAAATAATAAATAAAAAATTAAATAAATTAGTGGTGCCATAGAAGGGCACAGACTTTCTCGCCCTAGTTAGTTTTCTAATGTCTTTACTCTTGACTGATTGAAGACTACCTTGCGGTGGTTCGAAACGTTTTTGAAAACCTAAAGCAATTCCATACTTACGCCAACCCTAGCAACAACCAATTCTCTGTAGTTATCAAAAATGTGCAAACTGAAATCTCAGAAAAATAAATTCATTTGGAATTAACATCAATATTTGAATTTTGAAAAAAGTCACGTGACTTCTAAAACTGTTCACCAATATCTGTAGTTGCTACAGAATTTACTAGCTCCCATCTAATTGAAAATATTCTTCAAATAGATTCTTTATGCCATTTAAAAGTGAAGGTAGAAAAAAGAAAAGACATATTGAACCCCTATAGTGCATGCGTTGCAAGATTTCGCTCATAGCAAAAACAGCTGGAACAGAATATTAACTTGTGATCATTGTGCTCGTAACCACATTTCCTCTAGCTGCAAAAGTAGTCTGTTCCGTTCTGTGTTAATTGCAAAGGGAACCATGGAGGGTGTGTCAGATACTCACTTTTTACGGAATATACCAAAGTCCTAAATCTAAGACAAAGTTGGAATAAATCTAATAAAAGATCAATTAAGAATAATTCGCTGGCTCTTCGCAATAATGCAATTTTTTTTCTTATTTACCAAGAGTTAACCAAATGCCACATTTTTATCCCTCACCCTCAGCTTCACCTCCAACCTCTTACGCACATTTTAGACCCCATCAACCTCTCCCATCCCAACCACTCAGCCCTGAACCAAATAGTCCTTTAATTAACACTATCATCCAATCAATTAACACCCATTTCACTCACTTCCTGCACTCAATATTCCCTAGAGTCTTAAGTCGAATTCAAATTTCATAGTTTCGCTTTTCGCAAATGTTAATAATGTCACTCCTTAAATCATTAAGGTTTCTCAATTGAAACAGCAATGGAGTCTATAAAAAACGCCTTTAACTCATTTATTTTATAAATTCCCATTTCATAGACATAGCGTGTATCACTGAAACTCATTCAACATTATATTTTGTTTTTAGATTTCAAGGCTACAATAATTCTGTACGTAACGACAAACTTGGTCTAACTCCAGAAGGTAGTGTCTTAGTTCTAGTAAAAAAATCAATACTCCATTTTGAAATAGATCTTCCCCACACCGCCGGTCTAGAAACGGTTGCTATACGCATTCCCTTTTCGAAAAACAATAGTATCACGGTCAGCGCAGCGTACAAGCCTCCAAACAAACAAAAATTCGGTGTCCGCATCGAATCACTTTTTAACGCTAATTCACCAACGATCGTAACGGGTAACCTCAATGCCAACCAATGCTCAATGTCATGGGGCTGCCGTGTCAGAAATTCCGAGCGTTTGATTCTCTCAAAAACATTACAAACCACTTACACCTCAAAATCCACTCTCCCACTGAACCAACTTATTAGCCTTTCAATAACAATATCATTCTAGATGTACTGGACATTGTTATCTCAAACTTACCATTATCATTAACCTCGTATGTTTTCCATAAACTCGATTCAGACCACAATCCACTATTACTGACGTCTTAAGTTTTCCGTCCCCCTCCTTTTCTTTTTCTACTACTTCTTCTCCATAAACTAGACGCCCTTTGCTTCTCCAAAAGTTTTCAAAACCTTCTCTTCCCAAGTACCTACAAAACTTAATCAACGAAAAGAATATAATCGGACGACTTTGGAATAAACACATACTACCCTATCTATGTATCTTCCCTATCGTCTCATAACAACTCGGTATGGTTGACTACGAGAAAACTACTCCGTAGAAAGACAACCATTCGTCCTCTGTTGCCAAACGGTCAAAAAGTGTTATCTCAGAAGGAAAAAGCAGGACTTCTATGCCAAAACCTTCCAGCCACATAACAGTGAAGCCCTCCCCCCCACACACACTCTAATGAAGAAACGTATTTTTCTATTTGCCCAACTTCGATGTCTCTGGCCATGTTAACTTTGCGTCCCCCACCGAAGTATATAATATTACAAAAACTCTACCGAGAAAAAATCCCCTGTCACGAAAATAAATCATATATTACGTTAAAAGTCTTTCCTCCTGATGCAGTTGCCTTTATAACTAATATAATAATATATTCTATATTCTATAATAATTCTCGAATATAATTCTATATTCAGATTACGTTACTTCCCCAAATTATGGAAACATTCTATTAAATGGCTCCCCAATCCCGAAACCTTGGAAAATTCAAACCTTACCTACCACCCAATAAGCCTTCTACTTATTCATGCCAAAACAGCCGAAAACGTCATCCTAAAGAGGATCAATTCATTTCAAAGAAACTCCAATATTATTCCTTATAACCAAATTGGTTTTGTTCCAAAACTATGTTCTTGCCATTAACACCTCAGATTAACAGAATTCATTCACGCCGTGTTTCAAAAGGGGCAACACAACATAGCAGCCTTTCTTGATGATAGCCAATCATTCGAACGAATTCGGCATAATGGCCTAAGTTACGAAAGCTCGGTATCCCACTCTACCTCCTTTCAACCATTCAAGGTTGTTTTTTTTTGTCAGATCGTTCATTCTCAGTAAAAATTCAGACGCACCTTTCTAACCCTCGTTCCATTTTAGCTGGCGTTCCTAAATGCACCTCTCTTTCTCTAACTATATTTAATATTTTTACCGTCGACATACCCACATATCGATTCATAAACACAACTCAATTTGCAGACGACACATCCTATTTCTTTCTGATCCCGAACTAAACACATTGACCGACCGACTTCTGAGACACCTGCACCAAATCGAACAATGAATTGCCAAATGGAGAATAATGCTCATCCCTCAAAATCGCTCGCAAACATTTTCACTCTTAGACACCCTTATCATACTCACCCAGTCCTGCTAAACAACTCTCCCATTCCTTGGTCCCCTTTCAATTAATCAATCAAACACCTAGGCCTCTATTTTGACACAAAATTAACCTGGAAGTGAAGAAAGACCATCAGAAACTTCATCAACTTCCGTAAAAGTAGCCTCAGCCCTGACTATACAGTGCCCCTATAAAAATCTATTCTCCACCTATTTGATTCTTTACGCATGTCCGATCTGGTGTCATTCAGTAACATTCCCACACTAACAAGATCCGAGTCTCTCAAAATAGAATCCTCCACATTGCAAACCCA